AGGTCTCCCACAATCACACAATACCACCAACTCTAGGCAAAACGTAGCACAGGCTTCTTCCAAGACCTGTGAAGAGCCACTGCATCTTTTCTAACTGCCGCTAAAGCAACAGCATTAGATGTATGACGATATTGTTGTTGTGATAAACCATGTCCTAATCAGGCCTGTTTTATTGGCCCAGAAAACACTAAGACACCTGCACTGACTAGCATCATGTTGAGTGATTGGGGTAGGTTGGGGCCGGTTCATATCACCACCACTGTAAAGACATCTGAACCATTTCACACCAAACCCCTCTGAATCACTGTTTATACCTCAACAAATGTTTTGAAAGAAAACATCAGAAATTTTAAAATTTCAGTGGAATTCCCCTTCAATAATGCCTTATTACTGAGTCTCCAATGTGAATATGTAGCAGTATAATCACAATACTGGGATAATATCGTTGTATCGCCCACCTCTTAATGAAAGAACAGTGTTTGTCAAGCAGCTGGAGCTGCGCCGGTTTAGCCATTCGGCCGAATAAGAAGTGGAAATCAAGACAAAGCAGACCAAATTAAAAACGAACCCCATTGTCTTTATTTAGTTAGTCATTTTACAGTAGTCACTCTTAAAGTAGCTGCCTTGAGGTTTTTTCTTTTTTCCTGCCTTTTTTTTTCTCCTCATCGTTTCAATTTTTCGTCCTCACTTTGATCAACACAAAGGAAGAAACAATGGAAAAAGAATGAGAAAAACAACCAAAATAAAGAAAAAAGTAACGAAATGGATTTTAAAAAATGCCCCTGAACAAACAAGAAAATAGGAATTTTGGCAAGAGATTCATTGATTTCATTCCAACCCTGTGCAGTACAGTTTGGTTCGGACGATGCTGGAGGTAAAGGGGAGGGGGGGTCAAGTCAGGGAAAATGGGTCAAAGGTCATTTTCAATACAGAAAAATGAAGGTAGGTGATACATATAGGAAAAAAAAAAACACCTGATATTCATGGAATGATGCGTTTTCAATCAATTTCGCCAACCCATAATCCTCTCCTGCCATGCTAACGAATGATGGCTCAACCTGATATGCAAATATAAGCAGTGGATTGTGCACATTTTTCATATTTCCATTTCATATGGATGTCCACATTATCTTAGAGGGAGAAAACTGACCTGAACGTATGTACAAAACCGCGGTAAGGCATCCACCGACATGGAACGTGAGCAACAGTCACTCAAAGGAAAAAATGCCACTGCGAGGGGTCGTCGGTCGAGCCGCTATTTCTTTTAAACCCTCAATTCAAGAACATTGTCCACTGCAAAGTACTGGACCCTGTATTGGAAAAGCCAACGGTCACTTCTCTACAGCCAGCAGTGAGTGCAACATGTTGGTGTGCGTCATTACTGTAAGTTAGGGCTGCACGATACATCGTCTGTGAATCGTTATTGCGATATTGGCTTCTGCAATACTGATACGCAAATGCAGTGTAGGGCTGCACGATATATCACTATAGCAATATTTAATATCTTTTTCCAATACTGATTTCACAGAAGGCTGCAATATGCAAACGAGCCCTCCAGCCAGTCACAGCCTGCTGTGATGATCATGACCAATCACAGCTGCAGAAGAGTTTGTGTGGGTGTCCTTTGTAAACCAAGAAGTGTCAATTATTTTTGGTCAAAATCTGTCACATTATTGAGTTTTTCATATATTACATGGCATTACAATATGTAGCATCATCACCACAGTAAATTTTGGTCTTTAAAGAAAAGAAATCCTGTTTTTTTCCCAAACTTTCTGCTTAATTTAATAGTTAAGATGTAAACAGAGTCGTTCAGACTGGTTTGGTGTGAAACGCTCTGTTCTAGAGAAACTTACTGAGTCAGAACTGTTCACAGTGGTGGTGATAGGAACCAGACGTCCACCTCTAAAAGCTCCCTCACAGAAAGTTACTACATGAAATGGTTATGAATTCACTGCCTGATGACTGAGACACTGTTTTATGATAGTTTTGAGAAGATTTTGGCCTTAAAATCCATTCATGGTGGAGGGATACATAATATGCAGGGTGTTATGAGGCAAAATAGTCCCCAAAGAAAACTTATCAGATTTTTTTCAATATTTTCCATCTTTAATATTCAATAGAAACTCAGAAGACTCGTGTAGGTTCACTGGTGGTTTTGGATAGTAAATAAAATGTCTATATTTGTGTTGTAGTCATGGCGACCCCTGGTTCCTATCACCACCACTGTAAAGACATCTGAACCATTTCACACCAAACCGCTCTGAATCACTGTTTATACCTCAACAAATGTTTTGAAAGAAAACATCAGAAATTTTAAAATTTCAGTGGAATTCCCCTTCAATAATGCCTTATTACTGAGTTTCCAATGTGAATATGTAGCAGTATAATCACAATACTGGTATTCTGCTGATATCGTGCAGCCCTACTAGAAAGTAAATCACTGAGCAGCTCCTGTTTACGTGTTTCGGACTGAATGAGGTGAACTCTCAGCCAGTGTTTACTCTCCGAAAACCAAACAGACTACAGCTGCAGACGTGTGGCTCATTTCTTTGACCTCAACACAAAGCAAGGAAAACAACACTATGATTTTACTGTGAAATTATAACCCATGATAAACTCCAGCCCTCTACATTCATTCACACATTCATACGCACAACAACAAACCGTATTTTGGCTCGTTTACAACTAACCATGTGTCTGCGAGGAGTGTTTATTTGCACATGTTACACTCTGGCTCATTAAAAAGCTAGACCTCAAGAACAATTTGGTGGTCAAAATCCAAGGTTTTAGGAAACGGAAGCCCCTCTAACACTGTTCGGACCCTGTTATGCCAATTTCACTGCTTAAAACAGTCGATTTTTCTTTGTAAATGTATCTACAGGTTGACAAATACTGTCTAAACCAGAGGTCTTCAGATCCAGACCTTTAATCCAGTAATTTTTGTAATCACTGGTAACTGACCCCTTGATGGAGCTGACTGGACTAGCGCATATGTACCAGTAAATACCAAGTCCAGGACCAAAATCTGGATTAAAGGTCTGTTTCTGGACGGCCTCTGCCTTAAACCAGTGATGTGGCCTAAATCAAGTCTGAAAATGATATTTTAACTCAAATGAAGGAATAACAAAAGTAAGAGAGTGGGGGAAAAATTATATTCTAATGCTGTTCTGCATTTTTCACACATTTTATGACAATACTGAACAGGCTTTCGGAGCAGTGCAGCCTGTTAGCACGCTACTAGAGCCGCTCCTGCAGTTTTTCGGGAGTAGCCGTTGGCCGTTAGACAGAGTGATTTCCCTGCATTAGCCGAACAAACGTTTCAGGAGTGTGTGACACCAGCGTTATTTTAAAATTTCGATTCAGAGGGTTTAGCAGCTTCGAGTACCCGCCTCAATGTGATCTAGTGAAGGAAGAGAGAGTCGGAAAACAACAAAAAAAAGTCTTAAAAACGAGTGCGGTGAAGGGCAAACTGATAGCAGCCCGAATCCCCTCACTTTCACGCACCTGATGAGGGTCAGAGCGCGCATTCTCAGTGCAGCGTGGGGAGAAATTCAGAGGGTGCGGGTTACAGCGCCCCCTATAGCAGAGCAGAACAAACAGAGCAGAGTTTATAACGACAGCGAGTCTTGGCAAAGCTGAGTGTGGCACTGGAGTGGCAAGGTTCTGGAGCAGGACTGCATATTAAACCCAAAACAGTCCAACACAGAGGTTCCGGATGTGGCGCCTGCAGAACCGGACGAGGAAACGCACCGATAGCACAGAACACGAGGAGCAACGGAGGCGGAGCAAGGAAAGAAAGGCGGGGCTAAAGATGACCATGGGAAAGCAGGCGTGGCGTGCATGGCACGGATGGAGGGGAGGGAGGTTTGAACCATCACCACACTCACACATTCACATGCGTACACAATCAAAAAAGATGAGGGCGGGGAAATGGGAAAAGGGGGTGTGGCCTGGTTGAAAAGTTAGTCAAAGAAAGAAAAAGAGAAGAGAGAAAATGAGGAAGGAGAAAAGTAATATCAGCCTCTGTGAAAAAAATATTTAAAAAGAAATAAAAAAAAAAAGTGGGGGACAAAATGCAGGCCCAGGATGAGCAGGTGGGGAGGTTTAAGGTGAAAAGTTATTTAAAAAAAAAAGGAGAAAGAGAGTGAAATAACAAAAAATGAGAAAACTAGTGATACTGGGTTCAGTGAGGGGACAAAAGAAAAAGAAAAAGAAGAAAGGGGTGTGGCCTGAGCGAGAAGTTAATAGGGGGTGGAAAAAAGGGGAGGAAAAAGGAAAAGTCACACAGGAGATGTAATATTGAGGTGATGGTATGGCCATGGTAAACAAACGAAAACTAACCCCGCCCCCTCAGGCTCAGGCTCGACTCAAACCGGCTCCCTCGACTCCCTCAAAGGAATTCTGGGTAAGCAGACGGACAGTGAGCACCCCCACCCCCCCGAAACTGAAAGTAGGTACATTAACACTGTTTACAGCTTTCACACAGGGGTCTCACGCTCACTCCAGCCCCCCACTCTGGCTCGTTTTGTTTTTGTTTGGAAGAACCTCTCTAGCGGTGGATACATTCTGTGTAGAGTTACACTGTTAGCCGTCCACTGCCTAGTGCAAATATGCCGCGAGTAGAGCTGGCTTCTCCGCTAGAACCCTGGGAGCCTTACCTGCGTACAGGTGAGTGGTGGGTGGGGGGGTTGGGGGAGGGACTGGATAGACCGGAGGATTGGGGAGGGGTGGGCTGCTGAGCAGACAAACTGGATTATTTTACAGTAAAGCACATTTACACATACATACACGCACTCACGCGCACACAGCACTGATACTGAATATGTACATGCTTGTTGTCTTTTCTCTTGTCTGTTAAGTCCATTCACAAATAGTTGATCCAGGAACAAAAATAATAATAATAATAATTATTATAATAACAACTGCAGCAAACAGGTTCCCCCATCTGTGTGGCTCGCTGAGCGCCGGCCGTGTCTCCGGGACGTCCTGTAGTGTGGGTGGGTGTGGGTGGGGGAGGTCTTTAGCTGTTCTTCAGCAGCAGTCTGTCGTCAGGGGAGGGGAAGGAGTGGATCTGTCCGGCGTCCGGAGAGACGAGTCCGCAGGAGCGCAGGTCCACGCTCTGCAGGGACACGCACCGCCGCAGCAGCGGCAAACACTGCTCCGTCACCTTCACACAACCTGGAACATGCAGAGAGTTACAGTGAGCTGACAGCACTGATGATAAATCTTCATGAACAGATACATACATTACAGGCAGGGTGGGCAATATAACACCATCATTAGTGAAGCACCGAAAGGAAAATTCTTGACCAAAACCTAAATGTAGGAAACTTGGCTGATAACTGAAAGAAAGGGCTCGTTTACATTTAATTGAAATAAACTAATAATGCTGGTGATGCTTCAATATGCTAAGAATATGGTGAAAATATGGTGAGGACACACACACACACAAAATATATATATATATATATATATATATATATATATATATATATATATATATATATATATATATATATATATATATATATATGTGAATATTGTAATATGGTGAGGAAAACAAGCATATGGTGAGATTGTGTGAGTATATGGTGAGCATATGGTGAGACTGCGAATATATGGTGAGCATACGGTCAGTGTTATGAGCATTAGGTGAGATTGTGTGAGTATATGGTGAGATGGAGTACATGGTGAGTATATGGTGAAGGAGTATATGGTACGCATATGGTGAGATTGTGTGAGTATATAGGGAGAATATGGGGAGATTGTGAGTATATGGTGAGAATATGGTCAGTAGAACATGAGCATTAGGTGAGATTTTGTCAGCATATGGTGAGCTGGAGTATATGCTAAGTATATGGTGAAGGAGTATATGGTAAGCATATGGGGAGATTCTGTGAGTATATGGTGAGAATATGGTCAGTATAATGAGCATGTGGCGAGATTGTGTGAGTATATGGTGAGATGGAGTATATGGTAAGTATATGGTGAGACTGTTTAAGAACATGGTGAGCATATGGTGAGTATTTGTGAGGACATAGTGAGCATATGGTGAGTATAAAGTGAGCGTATGGCGAGACTGCATGAGTAAATGGTGAGGTACCTGCGAGGTTGACGTGCGTGAGGCTCTCTCTCAGTGGAGATACGGGAGAGGTCAGCGTGTGAATGGTCTGGTCTGTGATTTGGCCGCACTGACTCAGGTCCAGCTTGGTGAGATGAGGCAGGTAACGGACCAGCAGTCGTGATGCAGCATCTGTCACCTCCAGCCCAGATAACCGCAGTTCTGACACATTCTGGAAACGTCCACCACGGTTCTCACCTAAAACCACACAAACAGGAAACAGACGTTACACATTTCACAACAACAACAACAACAACAACAACAACAATCCCAATGACTATTTCTTTCAGTTTTTATCCTGGTTTAATTTTAGTTATGTAAACTCTTTGTGTATATATGTGTCTCATATATCTGCTATACCCATTAAGCTTCATCTGCCAATATATTTGCGCCAATGACATGACGTGCATTGTTTCATATTTAACAGTAATAGCATGCACATTATTTTTTTTTTTATACCTCATTTATGTGAATAACTTTTCAGTGCATCAAAATAAAATTAATTTTATTTATGACTCCCAATATCTAAGAATGTCAGGTGGTGCAACCATCCAATTATATATGCACATTAAGAAAACTACTAAAAAGGCTATTTACTTGTATACAACTGTAAATACAAATCCTCTGGCATGATTTTGTGCTTAAAACCTTTAAAATCATAACATGTTGCAAAGTAATGCAGCTTTGAAATGATTTAACTCACTGTAAATTCTCACTTCCTCAAATGCTACGCGGCACAAACGACCACAAACGCCTGACATGCTGTTAAGAAAAAGTGGGCAGGCTATTGCATCATAAAGATGACCCCAAGTGACCCTTGCAATGCGACGGTCAATAGCCCTTTCATAAATACTGAAATACTGTCATTTTTGAGTTGTGATCGGTCATCAATTTACCAAGTCAGGTGGTGCGACCCAAGGAAAACCATGTGTTATAATGCTAAACGTTATAAACATAATTATGTTAAGTTATTTGAATACATGTATGCATAAACCTGAGGAACAATGGTTTTTACAGGGGTCCGAGTTCTAAGGCTAGTTTAAACACGTTTTCAGTGGGGGTAAATAACTTTAAATATATGTTTATTATTACCGTGTGGTTGCACCATTAAAAATTTTCTGTGTTGTAAAACTGATGATTCTGTTTAAAAATGAATTCATACCATGACGGTTTGATTCTTCGATTCATCAAGAGGGTTTAATTCAACACTTTTTCAATAAGAATATTTTAAATGATAATTTTAAAAGCTTTATTCCTTAATGACTCATTTTTATTCAAGTATAACTGCTGATATTTCAAGTTGTCTCTACCATGTAGATCCGGCAGAGAGTGGCTTAAAGACATTCCAGTTCTAAACCATTAGTTCAAACATTTTTATCTGCTGTCAGCTGACAACAACCAACAGACTGTAGCTTGTAAACTCTTTGCAAATGTTCCCTTTGATATGTTTACCCTGCAGTCTGATCCGGCGCTAGTTCCCATTTTTGTGCCAAAGAGAGGCCAGAAATAGTTCATGTCCAGTCAGGGCAAGCTGACCTTAAAAGTGCCTGGCTAAGGCCGTTTCATCAGAGGATTGTCTGAACGTTACATTTTTGCAGTCTGATGCTACTGTCTGGAATATAATTGTATGTATTTATGTAAATACAAGGTAATCTCATGCATATACAGTACATTTTTAACTTCTGTCATTGTAATCAGATGAGCAGGAGAGGATCACCATATTATTCTTTGCTGTGCTTTCCATCTCCATCCTTTCACACTAACACTAAAGATACTAATTATAAAACTGGCCTTACAGGTTGTTTTGCATTTCTACTTGACTCTTGTGACTCAACCATGTAGACACCGCGTTCTACCCAGTTAGGGAAAACCATTCTTCTCCCAAAGGAGTAGCAGCTCGGGCTGCGTGTAGCAATTATTTCAATAATCAATTAGTCTACATTAATATTCATTAATCAGCTAATCTAACTATTCTCCCATCTTCGGTTCCTCTCTTTTTCATTCGGCAACACGTTTCATCTGTGCAAAACAAAAGCCATATCGCCCCCTACACTTCCTGTACTGTATTACAGTCTGTCAGAGTGACTGTGTGGATCATATGAACATTATAGAGGCTTTTTAAATGAAACAGTAGAAGCCATATTGCCCCCTACACTTCCTGTAGTGTATTACAGTCTGTCAGAATGACTGTGTGGATCATATGAACATTATAGAGCTTTTTAAATGAAACAGTAAAAGCCATATTGCCCCCTACACTTCCTGTAGTGTATTACAGTCTGTCAGAATGACTGTGTGGTTCATATGAATATTACAGAGCGCCAGGCAGCACACGGTTCCGCTCAGATTGCAGGATGTACCTCTGGTAAAGCCAAGGTGCGGTAGATACCTGTGCGTGTGTCGGTGGAGGGCGGAGCCAGCAGCTCTTTCAGGTGCGAGTCTTTGAGGTCTTCCACTCGGCTGAGGTCCAGGAGACGCAGACATGGACACACGGCCTGACAAAGAGCGGATACAGACGACCACGTACAGCCCGACACATTCAGCTCCAATAAACCTGAGAGGGGGGAGGAGGAGAGATGTTTATATCAGGTATAACACAAACAGATATTTACAATATGTATGTAAGGGTGTGTGTGTGTGTGTGTGTGTGTGTGTGTGTGTAATATATATATTACACACACAGATTACAAACAATTTACTGTAAAACCACCACATAAAAAGTACAGAATGTGTCACTTGAGTGTGTGTTACAAGTTTAAAATGCTTCAAATGTCTAAGCAGTATTAAACCCAATGTGAGAAGTCAATGTACACCTCTGCTCCGCTCTGGGCAGGTGTGCTCACTACCCCCTAGTGTGTATGTGGTGTTTCACTGCATGGATGGGTTAGATGTGGAGGTGAAATTTCCCCATTGTGGGACTAATAAGGGTCACTTAATCTAATCTAATCTCAACATATCACTGAAACATAACTCTGAAAATCCCATAGAAACGCTAGCAGATCAGCATTATCTTGGCGGTATTCGGGGTACTTATAAAGTGATTTCTGCAGTAAACGCTGCTATTTAACGCCTGGTTGTGTGAAGTTCAGGAAATTACTCTGAATAAAATTTTTAAAAATGTTCATAAATTGGCATAAACATGATTTCACATTACAGTGAATTGCTTTTAAAGGCCTCCCTTTTATCTTTTTCAGTATTTTTTAGAGTAGGCTCTAAAATGTACATTATAAAGGCTCTGTATAGTACATTTTTGTTCAGTTATCCCATTTAAAAAACAAAATATTAATCATCAAAATTAAATAAATCAGTAAAATATTAATCTAACCAATATAACTACTAATCTAGACTACTAATCTAACCAATATAACAAGCTAAACTATATAATAGGCGGTTAGAATAAAACCCACCTTGTAAGCGATTGATGAGCCACAGAAGCTGTTTTTTGGAGATATTGGTAAAGCCCAGATTGAGTGAGACGGGCTGGCGGCGGATTATACCGCTCAGCATTGGGGGGGTGATGGACCTCTGACGACTCAAATCGATCTGAGTCCACAACCTCTTATCACAGCACCTGAAAATCACACACGAGAGGAATAAAATGACCATTCAGAGCAGATAACTATCAAACACCTCACAAACATGATGCAGTACTGACATTCACTCCAAACCTGCAACCACTCAGCCCTGAATTACAAACCCAAAGTCCAAACAGTCCAAAGGAACCACAGACAAAATCCAAAAACAGAAGGCATTGATTTAAAAATATACTTTGACCTGTATTTGAACCAATTTAATACAAAGACAAGAGATATGTAATGTTTTATTTTGTTAACTTCAATATTTTATGTAAATATATATTCAGTCTGAAGTTGATGTTTGCAACACGTTCCAAAAAGTTGGGTCAGGAGCAAATTAAGACTTGCAAATGTTGTTTGAACATTTCACATCTTAAACAGGTGTACATGAAAATGTGGATATGAAAGGAGCATCCAGGAAAACCAGAGTCCTTTATGAGCGAGGATGGGTCGAGGCCCACCACTTCACACAAAATGCATCAGCAAACCTTCCAACAGTACAAAAACACTCCTCAGCCAGGGATTTCGCCCCTACAGCACATCATAATATGAGCAGATTCAGGAAATCCAGAGAAATCTCTGGCATAAAAGAAAAGGCTGAAAACTACAAATGTCTGTGACCTTCGACCCCTCAGACGGCACTGCATTAAAAACTGGAACGCATCAGTGATGGATTTCACTGCATAGGCTCTGGAATACTTTGGCAAACCATTATCAATAAACACCGTCTGTCATGCATCCAGAAATGCAAGTTAAGACCGTACTGTGCACAGCGGAAGTCAAATATCAACAACATCCAGAAACACCGCCGACTTCTTTGGGTTTAAGCTTATCTGAAATGGACTGATGCTCAGTGGAAACATGCCTTGTGATCTGACTAGTCAACTTATCATACTGTTCTTGGAAATAATGGACCATCCAGATTGTTACCAACATAAAGATCAAAATCCAGTATCTATCATTGTGTGTATGTGTGGGGGGGGGGGTAACCTGCATATCTATGAAAACACCATTAACACTGAACACATTTTGGAGCAACATGCTGCCTTCTAGATGCCGTCTTTTCAGGGTTGCCATACTTTTTTCAACATGCCAACACCAAAAAACATTCTGCCTGTGTTACAACAGCAAAAAGACTTGTATAACTGAAGAACGGCAAAAAGATCCACTTTCAAAACTGGATTAGTTTGCATTTTCAGTCCCCAAACAATCATTAAGTGCTGTTTAAAGGAAAAGGTGAACACAGTGTAACACAGTGGTAAACATGCTCCTGTCCTAACTTCTTTGGAAAATGCTGCAGGCATCAAATTTACAATGTGCGTATATTTACAGAAAAACAATGAAGTTCATAAGGCAAAACATCATATATTGTGATGAGTTAAACGGCATATATTGCAGTGAGTGACGTTTGTTTATTTGATGTTTGTTAATGACGCCTATAGAGGGCGGCGGTGAGTGACATTTGTGTATTTGACATTTTCTCTCTATTATAAACCTGTAAAGCTGTAGTTTTTATTGTTTTAGTAGTCTTTACACTGTACTTCCGAAGAAGTGTGTGAAATCCTGGAAATCCATGCTGAAACACTTAGATCTTACCAGCGGCTCCACGTCCTGCAGACCCTCATGCAGACGCAGAGCTGCTTCTGGCTGAGGTGCTGAAACACTCGGAGCCAGACGTCCCGGGGCAGGACGTGCGAGGCGCCGCTGTCCAGCGGGAGGCAGTGCGGTTCGGGGCAGGCGGGCGGCGGACGCACCAGGTGCCTCTCCATCTGTACGGGACGAGGGGGTGAGGGCACGGCCGCAGGGCTGCGCTTCACTAACTGGGCCGCTGCCAACCGAGACGGGCAGGAGGCCGCCGAAACACCACCTGCATTCGACAGGATTGCCCCGCTTCCTCCGTTAGCCGTCCCACTTCCCGTCGTCGTCGTGCTGCTCTTGGCGGACGGCCCCGTCTGTCTGCCTCCAGCGCGGAGCTTACTGCCACTTCTGGCCTTTCCCGTACCGCCCGTCTGCATGATGTATACACAATAAATAAAAAAAATAAAAAGAGATTGGATATCAGAGAGGCTAAATAACATGAATGCCTTGGTTAGTCAAACCACCCACAAAACTCTCACCGAGAAACATCTGTGATTGGTCGGGATGGTCACAAAATTAATTTAATATCATCGCCGATGCACAAAAACCTTGCATCTCTACTTCTGTCTTTTTTTGGTTGAAAACTCTGGTTATCCTTTATATTCTGTTCTGTTTTTACATTGTCATTTTTCAACCTCTCTTTATCCCCCAGAATTAACCAGCCTGTTTTTGTTACTGTGCCTTAAGACTTATATATGTAAATGAGGTCTGCTCTGACTGGCTCCCTTGTATTGTGTCTCGTTCTAAAATCAGTCGTTTCAGAGTTGCAATGTTTATCAAACTGTTAAGTTGGGACTGTGGGGGTGGGGGTGGGGGTAAACTCCTTTCTGGGGTGTGGATTGCTTGGAAAGTGATCCATTTGCTTCCTGACAGCCAGGAACAGTACAACATTTAATCGTTTTGACAACTTCCACTCCATTAACTCTGATACACACTGCAGGAGCAGGACCAAACATCAGTTTAACAGGAATGGGTGGGGCTACGCTGCCCAGGGCTGAATGGGTGGGGCTACGCTGCCCTAGGCTGAATGGGTGGGGCTATGCTGCCCTAGGCTGAATGGGTGGGGCTAGCCAGCCCTAGGCTGAATGGGTGGGGCTACGTGCCCTGGGCTGAATGGGTCGAGCTAGCCAGCCAAAAAGACTAATTTCATCTATTCTGCCTGGCCAGATCGTTTATATTAAAAAGATAAATTTAACATTTTTCATAAAATGTGCAATAAGATCTATTATAAAAAACCAATAAAGTGCACATCTTGCAATAAAATTCAATCAGTTGAGAATATACTGCAATTGTACCGTATTGTGTCGGTGGTTGGTGACTGCACTGCTGTTGGCATTCTCTTTCTCCTGCGTCTCTCGCCCGCCGGCTCTTGTCCGGCCATTCCGCGTTTCCTGACCGTTACTCCTTTTGGTCAGTCCCTCGGAGCCCGGCGGCTGGCCGTGGCCGGCTGGAGGTTGCTGCTGGGTGGAGGACAGTGGGGAAGGTGGAGGCAGAGTTGTAGGCTTTCTGTTTCTGTCCCCGTCCTCGTCCTCCAGCTCTGTTGCCATAGCTGCCTTTCGCCCGCGGGGGGCACTATCACCTCTACGCCGCTGCTGAGGGTCTTCCCCAGCATCCCGTTCCTGTTCGGGCCCCGCCCCCTCCCCCTCAGAGTCCTCGCTGGCACTGAAGCCGAGCTCGGCCAGCCGACGATTCCTCTCCCGTTCCCGCTCCCGTTCCCTGTACGCCGTGGCTGGAGACGAAGGGTCCGAGGCGTTGGCCGGAGAGGCTGAATCAGAATCCGACTCAGAGTCCGATTCCGAGCTGGAGGATGAAGACGACGATGAGTCCCGAGCACGCTCCAGCATTTGGCACATCCGCTTAAACCGCTCCAATTTCTCGCGGTGGTGCGAGCGCTGGTCCTGGCTGGAGGCTGAAGACGGAGGTTGAGCGGTTACAGGACCTGACCCCTGACCTCCAGCAGATGGGTTCGGACCGTTGGTCTCCGCAGAATCAGATGAGTTGGGCTTCTGCTTCTGGGACAAAGAAAGTGTTCTTAAACTGCAAGCTTATAACCCAATTTTACATTTTAAGGTTCTTCTTCAGTATCTACTACAAATTACTCATTACATACTAGGAATTATTCAGCATCTGACATGAATTATTCAGTATCTACAATAAATTACTGATCACCTGCTACGAATTATTCATTATCTATTATAAATTATTCATCAGTCACTATCAATTATTCAGTATCTTCTATTCATGAGTCTGTATATAATTTGAATTACTCAGTATCTACAATAACATTATTCAGCCTCAGCTATGAATTATTCATATACAACTACAAATTATTCAGTGCTGACTAGGCATTAGTCAATTTTGACTACAAATAATTCACCACCTTCTATGAATTATTCAGCATGCACTAAGAATTGTTCAGTCATTATTACTAAATATACAGTATCTGTCGTGAATTATTCAGTAGTTACTATTACTTATTCAGTATCTGCAATAAACTATTCAGTAGCAACTACAAATTATTTAGGATCTGCTACAATTATTCAGTGAAAACTATGATTTATTCAGCACCTACTATGAATTATTTAGTTTTGACTACTCATAATTTATCATCTATTCTGAATTCTTCATTATCTATTAATTATTCAGTACCTACTATGAATGATTCAGTACCTACTATGAATGATTCAGTATCTACTATGAATTATTTGGAGTTTAAGAGGTTAAAACCAATGTAATTAGCCAACCACCATAATTCTTCCTCCTGCTTAAATGAAGTACTCGTACCTTTTTCAGATGCTTTTCCCGAGCACCTTTCATCTGTTGAGACAAAGACAGCAAAAACAAACGATTTCACTGAGGAGCCACCAGTTCCTATTTATAATCTAAACCACATGGCAGAACCTGGAAATTCACTGTTACAGCTACAGAACACACAGTGACCCTCGTATCCAGCAAAGCTGTGCCGGTGGAGAGCACTCGGTAAACAATCCTGAAAAGCAGTAGTGCTCTGTGATTCGCTAACCTTCTTCTTAGGGCCGCTTTCCTGGGCCATCTCCTTCTCCTTCTTGCGTTTGTGTCCGTCCTGTCGGGCCTCGTCGAGAGAAGGCGGTTTCTTTTTGCTGGGCGGCGGATCGTCCGTTATCTTCCAGCGGCCGACCTCGCCGTTATCCAGCCGTCTCTTTCCCAAACCATCACTATCCTGAAAAAGAAAACGACAGCGTGGATTTAGAAACGATACAAAAAGACACAAAAGCTTATGAAATCAAATCTATTTGATTGTTGGTCTTAAATACTTCCACCTGCATCAAAGAGGAATGTAACCAAAAATAGAACACAGAGGGTTTGATATGTTACACATGCAGAAGAGTGACCATACAAAGGAAAAGTAAATAGCCAAATGACATAATGCTCACTGATGGCTACTAGTTTCTATTTATTGGAAGTCATGTGTGAACAAAGTATTTCTTCAATAACCTGTTTAACAACTTCAACTAAGAACTCAAACTTAAAATTGTAACAAAAATTATTTATTCCTAACGTCGAGCTTTGACCAGGCGCTCCTTCAGTTAAAAGAAAAATGCTAAGATCAGTAACTTTCAATTTAATATAATAAGTTACTGTAAACAAACATGGGCATTTAATAATATTTTAACAGGTAATGTAAATGAGTTAAACGTCATGACTAAGGCTGTACAATTAATCAACTGAACTACAATAAGGCCATAATTAAGGCCAAATCACAGTCAGGGGGAGGTCTCAGAACAAACAAGCTGGCAATTAGGACCAATCACAGTCAGGGGGAGGTCTCAGAACAAACAGGCAGTGATCAGGATCGATCACAGTAAAGGGGAGGTCTCAGAACAAAGAGGCAGACCAATCACAGTCAGGGGGAGGTCTCAGAACAAACAAGGCAATGATCAAGACCAATCACAGTCAGGGAGAGGTCTCGGAACAAAGGGGCAGACCAATCACAGTCGCAGAACAAACAAGGCAGTGATTAGGGCCAATCACAATCAGGGGGAGGTCTTAAAATAAACATGTCAGGGATCAGGACCAATCATAGTCAGGGGGAGGTCTCAGAACAAAGAGGCAGACCAATCACAGTCAGGGGGAGGTCTCAGAACAAAGGAGACGGACCAATCACAGTCAGGGGGAGGTCTCAGAACAAAGGAGACAGACCGATCACAGTCAGGGGGAGGTCTCAGAACAAAGAGGCAGGCCAATCACAGTCAGGGGGAGGTCTCAGAACAAAGAGGCAGACCAATCACAGTCAGGGGGAGGTCTCAGAACAAAGAGGCAGACCAATCACAGTCAGGGGGAGGTCTCAGAACAAAGAGGCAGACCAATCACAGCCAGGGGGAGGTCTCAGAACAAACAAGGCAGTGATTAGGACTAATCACAGTCAGGGGGAGGTCTCAGAACACAGAGGCAGACCAATCACAGTCAGGGGGAGGTCTCAGAACACAGAGGCAGACCAATCACAGTCAAAGGGAGGTCTCAGAACAAAGAGGCAGGCCAATCACAGCCAGGGGGAGGTCTCAGAACAAACAAGGCAGTGATTAGGACTAATCACAGTCAGGGGGAGGTCTCAGAACACAGCGGCAGACCAATCACAGTCAGGGGGAGGTCTCAGAACACAGAGGCAGACCAATCACAGTCAAAGGGAGGTCTCAGAACAAAGAGGCAGGCCAATCACAGTCAGGGGGAGGTCTCAGAACAAAGAGGCAGGCCAATCACAGTCAAAGGGAGGTCTCAGAACACAGAGGCAGACCAATCACAGTCAAAGGGAGGTCTTAGAACAAAGAGGCAGGCCAATCACAGTCAGGGGGAGGTCTCAGAACAAAGAGGCGGACCAATCACAGTCAGGGGGAGGTCTACAATGAACAATATCAGTACAATCTCAGTGTCTCCAGGTGGAGGCTGTGTGTCTCACCTTGCTGGTCTTGCCTTCCTTATGGCACTTTGGACATTCCCAGCAGTTCGGGATTTCATCATTGATGATGCCCTCCGCCTTACCCATCTGTGGGAGAGAATAAACAATAAACATGTAAACAAACAAACAATGATTCTCCCACAACATTCAGTTTGGACTGTTTACAAAGAGAACCCACATCTGGACACCAGTTGATGAACAGAGAGCACATCAATCTGAAAATAAACAACAGATTTTGACCAGACAAGTTTTCCCAGTCTGGGCTGATCCAGTGAAAGACTAAACTAAAATCGAGTCTATAACTGAGAATAGATGTAGACTGATCTGCCAATTCAATGCAAATGTATAAACATAACGCACAATTATAAAATAGTTATAAAACTATCAAACTAACTAATGATAGTTTTACTGACACTCAGCAGAATAAAAACCCACTGCTAATTTTCAGATTTTAAACACATTTTTATGTAGGTATATTCTGTACAGTAATCATGGTTACAAATGTATTTATAATCTGAGCAGTAAGCGCACATTTACAGTAATATCTAAACAGTAAACGCACACCGATAATCTGTTTATAATCTGTTCAGTAAACACGTTTATATTTATAATCGAACAAACACATTTTCAGAATTATAATCTGTTCAGTCAACACGTTTACCGATATAATCTAACAGTAAACGGACGTTTACAGAATTATAATCTGTTCAGTAAACATGTTTACAGTTATAATCCAACAGTAAACACACATTTACAGCTATATCTAAACAGTAAATGCACACTTAGTTATAATCTGTTCAATAAACATGTTTATATTAATAATCGATTAAACACACGTTTTCAGAATTATCTGTTCAGTCAACACTTTTATAGTCATAATCTAATAATACATGCATGTTTACAGAGTTATAATCTGTTCAGTAAATGCACGTTTAGTTATAATCTGTACAGAAAATGTTTACAGTTAAAATCTGTACCGTTGACACGTTCAGTTATAATCTGTACAGTAAACAAATCTATGCAGTTATAATCTGAACTGTAAACACACACTTATGTAGTATAATCTGAACAGTAAACACAGTTCAGTTATAATCTGTACAGTAAACAAATTTGGTTATAATCTAAACAGTAAACGTGTTTTTCCAGTTATAATCTGAACAGTAAACGCACATTTATGCAGTTATAATCTAAAGAAACATGTTCATGCAGTTATAATCTGAACAGTGAACATATCTTTACAGTTAAAATCTGTAAACACATGTTTATGCAACTACAATCTGAGCTGTAAGCACACGCTTGTGCTGAACATGACATGTTTTGGCTGAATCCCAGAGGATTTGTTCAATAGATGTGATGAATATTTGGATGTCAAATTTTATTTTGACAGCCTTAACACACACACACACACACACACACACACACACACACACACACACACACAGAAACACACACACACACACACACAGAGCTCCACCTTAAGGCAGCTGGGGTGTATGATCTCGTTGCAGATGGTGCACTCCATCAGAGAGAGGCTGAACTTCTCTTCCTCCGACTCCACCGTGTCCTCCTTACCCGCCTCACCACATGCAAAACACACCGCCGTGTGAGGAAGAACGGGCTGCACACAAACACACAGCAGGGAAACACACACAGTTAGTGTCTGTAATCACAGGCAACTGATGAAACAGCGGACAGTAAGAGTGCTGAACGATACGGACGAAGTACTGCACTGCAGAGCTCGGCAATGTGGCCATATTTATCGTTATCGTGATGAATTACGTCACAATATGTCACAACAGCTTTTCTGAGCATACTGGGAATCTCAGTGCTAAAAGACCAGCTGTGAGGGCCAAACGTTTCGGAGAAAACATCGAACTGCAATTTTTCTGACCAATAAAGCAAATGCGATTTAAATGCGATGGGTTTCCGTAATTTAAACTCCAGGCCTTTTTTCCCTTCAAGAAGATTAGCACAGCTATTTTCTTCAGGCTTGAATGCTGAACAGTGTGTTTGACTGCCAGTTCATGGCTCTGCATTTTTAGGTTAAATTTACCCTGGAGGCGGGCGATATGGCAAAAATGTAATACCACGATACTTCAAGAAGTTTTCACAATGCACCATATGCATCACGATATTTAGGTTTTTTTGTGATTAAATTAGTTGGAACATAAATCTCCCATCTTTACTGTGTACAAACTCAATTCTTGTGCACTGCAACAGCAAAACACCTTGCAGTAGATTAAAAACACACTGGATCAGTAATGTAACATGAATAAAGACTGACCTGCATCACTCTGACCTTTTGCTGGATTACAAGTTTAACTTTATCCAACATAACATCCACAGAAACTCATCTACGTGTGTCTGGACACTTTATTTGAAACCCCTACCATGTGTTTGCTTCTAATAAAGTGGCCAGTGAGTGGAAGCACAAGGTAGGTGTTTCTAATAAAGTGGCCAGTGAGTGGGAGCACAAGGAAGGTGTTTCTACTAAAGTGACCAGTGAGTGGAAGCACAAGGAAGGTGTTTCTACTAAAGTGGCCAGTGAGAGGAAGCACAAGGTAGGTGTTTCTAATAAAGTGGCAAGTGAGTGGGAGCCCAAGGTGGGTGTTTCTAATAAAGTGGCCAGTGAGTGGGAGCACAAGGTAGGTATTTCTAATAAAGTGGCCAGTGAGTGGAAGCACAAGGTAGGCATTTCTAATATAGTGGCCAGTGAGTGGAAGCACAAGGAAGGCGTTTCTAATAAAGTGGCCAGTGAGTGGAAGCACAAGGTACGTGTTCCTAATAAAGTGGCCAGTGAGTGGAAGCACAAGGTAGGTGTTTCTAATAAAGTGGCCAGTGAGTGGAAGCACAAGGAAGGCGTTTCTAATAAAGTGGCCAGTGAGTGGAAGCACAAGGTACGTGTTTCTAATAAAGTGGCCAGTGAGTGGAAGCACAAGGTAGGTGTTTCTAATAAAGTGGCCAGTGAGTGGAAGCACAAGGAAGGCGTTTCTAATAAAGTGGCCAGTGAGTGGAAGCACAAGGTACGTGTTTCTAATAAATTGGCCAGTGAGTGGAAGTACAAGGTAGGTGTTTCTAATAAAGTGGCCAGTGAGTGGAAGCACAAGGAAGGCGTTTCTAATAAAGTGGCCAGTGAGTGGAAGCACAAGGAAGGCGTTTCTAATAAAGTGGCCAGTGAGTGGGAGCACAAGGAAGGCGTTTCTACTAAAGTGGCCAGTGAGTGGAAGCACAAGGTAGGTGTTTCTAATAAAGTGGCAAGTGAGTGGGAGCCCAAGGTGGGTGTTTCTAATAAAGTGGCCAGTGAGTGGGAGCACAAGGTAGGTATTTCTAATAAAGTGGCCAGTGAGTGGAAGCACAAGGTAGGTGTTTCTAATATAGTGGCCAGTGAGTGGAAGCACAAGGTAGGCATTTCTAATAAAGTGGCCAGTGAGAGGAAGTACAAGGTAGGTGTTTCTAATAAAATGGCCAGTGAGTGGGAGCACAAGGTAGGTATTTCTAATAAAGTGGCCAGTGAATGGAAGCACAAGGTACGTGTTTCTAATAAAGTGGCCAGAGAGTGGAAGCACAAGGTAGGGGTTTCTAATAAAGTGGCCAGAGAGTGGAAGTACAAGGTAGATGTTTCCAATAAAATGGCCAGTGAGTGTATATATGAGTGTGTGCTGGTATAAAACTGTGTGTATACACATGCGTGTGTGTTTGTGTGCTCACCGCTGTGCACTGTCGGAGCAGGCAGGACTGTTTCATGCGTCCCGGTCCCCCGAATTTCTTCATGTCTTTGCAGAAGTGGCACTCTCCACACTCGGTGCGCATGCAGGCTTGACAGCGTCGGCAGCGGGTTCGCCGCCGCCTCGCCCCGCCCAGAGCCTTACTGCCCGACATCCCCTCTGCATTCAACTGAAACAGACAGACACAGTAGATCATCAGAAAGAAAGAACTCTCGTCTATGGGCTTCAAATCAGCCAAACTGAACAGCAAGGCTGCAGCTAGTGATTATTTTAATAATCGATTAATCTATAATAGCAATACAATTTGATTAACTGACTAGTCTAATGATTCTGCCTTCTTCAGGTCACCTTTATTGGCTACAGACATCATTCATATAACGCTCTGTAATGTTCATATGATCCACACAGTCATTCTGACAGACTGCAATACACTACAGGAAGTGTAGGGGGCGATATGGCTTCTACGGTTTCATTTAAAAAGCCTCTATAATGTTCATATGATCCACACAGTCACTCTGACAGACTGTAATACACTACAGGAAGTGTAGGGGGCGATATGACTTCTGTTTCATTTAAAAAGCGCTCTTTAATGTTCAAAAATACAAAAATAAAGAGGAACTGAATAAGGGGGAGCAGTTATAATAGTCAATAGACTAAATGTTATGATGTTACAGTCCTACTCTGATAAGCCTTGGGTTGATAATTTACAGTGTTGAACATTATGATAATAAAAAAGCCCATATTACGCAAATTATAATTCTTTCAAGCAATTTTCTAACTGGCTTTGCCTTCATTTAACCATTTGTTTTGTACACTCATTCTAATTTACGGTTAATTTAAATATGTAAACAGTAGACAAGACTGTCCATTCTAGTCGTCACAAACTGAATATCAACTAAATGATTACATACATACTCCGAATGCCACTTGTAAATATTGTAATGTAGATATTCAGTATTGTAAGGAATGCTGGGAAATATGCAAATGAATCAGATAAACTCTGGAACATGAGATCTGCTCTCCAGTAGAGAGTAAAGTAGACGAGCTCGTCCAGAAGAAAGGTCAACGTGTTATTTTGGTTTCCAAACAAATGAACACTGAGAACTGCTGAATGTTAACAGTGTTACAGGCTGACTGTGCAGAATATAGTTCATCTTAGCTGAAGACTGTCATATATAAATAATTGAAAATAATGATTTAACTGTCTTTTTGTTCATTTTACAAACATAAAGCAGCTAAATCGGCTGACAGCTATCTTTACTTTGTAGCCAATATCTGAGTCATTATACGGAAACGTCCATTTTTGTGTCCCTCGCGTTTACAGATTCACACTTCAAAAACATGTTAGGGTTACAATTTATTTACATTTTAAAATAAAACAATACGTTATTTTATCAATTACACCTTCTTGAGCCTCAATTTAGCAATATTGGTTTTTAAAATCAATCATATTGAATTCCAAGCACCACAGAAGAGCTCGTCCTCACAGTCATGTGTGAAGGCTGAGGGCATATTTTGAGGCAAAAAACATGTTTTTCTGCAATTTTAACTGCAATAATCTATACATGACTATGGATTATATGATTTAAATGACATAAAGAAAACAAATGGCAAATAAATATTATAAAATATATAATGAAAGTTGTCCCCAGGAGTCGTGTCACTGGTGTTACCACATAACAAAAAAATCTCTTATTTTGAATTTAAAATCACACTGATGACATCACTTGACTTCCTTTTACCTGTGTTCTGAGGATCTATGAAGAAAAGCTCATGGTGAGTCCACTGAGTCTTTCAGTTATCAGAGATTTTCTCATTCAGCTCATGATTTCATATGAAGCTTTTAGCTGAAGTCACTGGTGTGACCGACTTTATTCTGAGGTAACTGTGAAAAAATAGAACACAAATGGATTAAATTTCATATTTTAGTGGATATTCCATGACTGACAACATGTGGTTTGATGCTCTGTAGCAGTTATTTTGTAAAATGCATTGTTCATTAAAATGTCTCTGGTGTTTCCTTTATTATGTGTAACACCAATGAGGATCAGTAACACCAGTGACTCCTATGGAGAGAAAAGTGGACGTTTATGTAGAATGACCCATTGGATCAAACTGATGTAAAAATATATGGCACTGTCAAGCTCAATCACAAGTGTCTACAGATGTTCAGAATCATACACGCTAAGAAAAACAAAGGTACTAAATGGTCAGTGGGGTGGACCCCTCAAGGATACATCTTCAGTTCCTTTCATTAGGAAACATAATTGTACCACAGTCGACTGGAACTATAGTTTAAGCTGTATTGACTCCACACAGCCTGTCTGTCCCCAGACGTTTTATTTATTATCCTGATTTAAATCATTAGGTCATGGAAATGAGCACCTTTCTCCTGGAAAAAAACACATTTAAGGTACACAGTTGGCCATTTATGGTACCTCTGGGTGTATATTTGCACTGTTTTTACCTTGTGAAACAAAAAACGCATCTGCACAGAACCTTTTTTCTGTATGGTGTATCTGGTGTCAGATCTGTGTCAAAAGTGCTTGTAACTGTGCTTCATGTCTGCAGCACAGTCTGTGTCTCTAATAAGATTGTTTGTAACAGCACATCATAATCGCAATAAATAAACTCCACCACAATCCGTCGGTGGTTTGTGGCAAGAACCACAACTTGTGTTTGTTGTGTTTCCTGTTTTTTATCTTCGTCTCAACCAAACTGGTGAAAACACGTCCATATCACACTCTGCAGTCAGTCCAATAATTGTGATCAGGCAAATGTAATAATCGTGACGGGGCTAGAATTCCACCGATTTTCCAAACTTTCCTGCATAAATGCGTCGTTGAGATGTAAACAGAGAGATTCAGAGTGGTTTGGTGTGAAATGGTTCAGATGTCTTTACCGTGGTGGTGATAGGAACCAGGGATCGCCATGACTACAACACAAATATAGACTTTTTATTTACTATCCAGAACCACCAGTGAACCTACACGAGTCTTCTGGGTTTATATGGAATGTTGATGATGGAAAATAGTGGAAAATCTGAAATATTAAGTTTTCTTTGGGGACTATTTTGCCTCACAGCGCCCTGCATATGATGTATCCCTCCACCATGAATGGAGTTTAAGGCCAAAATCTTCTCAAAACTATCATAAAACAGTGTCTCAGTCATCAGGCAGTGAATTCATAACCATTTCATGTAGTAACTTTCTGTGAGGGAGCTTTTAGAGGTGGACGTCTGGTTCCTATCAGCACCACTGTGAACAGTTCTGACTCGGTAAGTTTCTCTAGAGCAGAGCGTTTCACACCAAACACACTCTGAACGACTCTGTTTACATCTCTAGACAGACTAAGGCTCTGAATTTGGATCACAACAATATCATTTATCACAATAACTCTACAGAAGCCAATCGTTCGCCTAAATTTACATTATTGTCCTTAAGTACACTCCCTATCACTCCACTGAAAACACTGAGGCCACCAGTGAACGTCTGCTGGACGTCTGAGGGACAGTACAACAAAGCTCTGAGATTACAGAGGTCCTGATATACTGCAGCCGGCATTGGGATGTGTCCTATATCTGCAGTTTGGCCTCATTTCAGCCACGTCTCATTAAATACAGGTGTAGACACAGTGCTGAGGGTGAACTAACTCACAGCTGATATTAACTCAAACAGTGTTTTTCCTGCAATATAATTTAACCCTGAATGATGACGGACCCACTCAGAACTAAATACAACCAACCAGACCCGAAAACACATTACAGACCCAAATAGTTTCAGACGGGAAAGACAGAAAAATTAATCACCAGCATCCAACGTGACTCATAAGACAAATTCCCTGCAACTGGCTACTAAAACCAACTCTGATAAAGAACCACAATAAAAACGATATCAACCAGGGAGTGGTACCGATTTATACTCTCATATACACTGTACAGTACTGCGCCAAAGCCAGAGCACCTTTCATTTATTTCATTTACAGTCGAAGACAAGTTCTACTTTAATGCCTCCAGGAGACACTTCTGAGATAAGACAATCCACTTGGATAAGGAAGCAGAACATCAAAGTGAAAAAATAAATAAATAAATTATAATTTTATATATATGTGTGTGTGTGTGTGTGATATATATATATATATATATATATATATATATATATATATATATATATATATATATATATATATATATATATATATATATATATACACACACACACATACACACATACAGATTGGGGTGGGTGGGAGGGAGGGAGATTGGGGTGGGTGGGAGGGAGGGAGATTGGGGTGGGTGGGAAGGAGGGAGGGAGGGAGATTGGGGTGGGAGGGAGGGAGATTGGTGTGGGTGGGAGGGAGATTGGGGTGGGTGGGAGGGAGATTGGGGTGGGTGGGAGGGAGGGAGGGAGGGAGATTGCGGTGGGGGGGGCGCATTTATTGGCATTTGTATCTGTGTTACTATTGTACATCTTGTTTTTTGTTTAGTATAAAAAAATAAAGTTGTTCACAAAAGTGGAGTTCAAAAAATGATTAAAAGCTGCAGAAGTTTGGATTCCTAACACGAGCAGGAATCCCAATTTTATTTATAAAGTAAATTAAGCAAAAAAACAAAAACATACCATCCAACAAGAACGAACTAAGATCAAACAAAACAGCTGCAGATCAAATAATGAGGCGATGCTGATAAACGTTTAACGCAATTATCTAATGATTCCGAGAGGATTCCAAAATCATCCCCCAACAGAAGCTCTTCCAGCTCTGATATTTTGGGATTTTCCACTCTACGACTTCATTTCTTCTTCTTTTATTGCTCCTAATGCAGAGTGATGTGCCGTTTCTCACTGCAGAGAAAAGCAGCACTTTTACTTCCCGTGTATTTACAGATGACCTCACGTTCTGCAGCAGCGCTCTGCCTCACTGAGCCGTGCTCGTACTTCCTTTAACAGAGGCAGGACGGCCATGTTTCTGCCACAGCAGCTTCCTCTGAACCGTTTTGGGCGAGGCTCTGAACCTCACCTGGCCTTAAAGAACAACACACACACACACACACACACACACACACACACACACATTCACAAAACTAGACGAACAAGTGTGGTTTGTCTACAAGGAGGCAAACATTCGTGTTGATTCATGCATAGTTGAAAACTGCCACGGCGAGGTTTGTTA